TTCACTTGCAGATTTTCTTTATAGTATAGGCACTGCAATGTTACTGAAGTATCACCAATGCAAAATGTAGCATCATTAAGCCTTTGATCCATCAAGAAGCTAGAGTATGTTGTCAATCACTCCATGCACAGCTTGTTCCTTTAATTTTGATAGACAATACAGAAATTTCAACCTAGATATTTTGTTCACTGTAACTGTTTTTCTATTTATCAGAAACTCACCATTTTAGTGCAGTATAATTAAATGTCAGGTAGCTTCTATTCCTTTTGATTGAGATTAGGACAAGAACAGGATATCATAGTTGTGGATTATGTTTTCACACAAGTTCAGTTTTACGTTCTGATTCTCTAGCTTTGCAAGGCACTCCTGGTGTTTAAGTGTAATGACTGCAGTCATCCAATACAGCTTCAATTGAACATGCAGAAAAACAGTTCAACCGGGTGCATGTTCTTTACTTCAATTAAACTCACACAGTTGGATGCCTACTGTTGCCAAAATGGTAATATAATTTATCCATTATAGTGAAACAGTAAAACTACACTAAAAGTCATTTAACAATATTTATAACACCATAAAAAACAGTGTTAAAATATATGGACTGCAATATGCACCGAAATTATAAAATTTGTTTCTCATCATCGGTGATTAAAAACAGGATCATTTCTCTAGCTTCAATACACTCAACCCTGGTGACAGATTAGAATTCAAATCTTAATGATCAATTTACAATTAACAAGATAGAAGTGAAACAAATTAAACCAACCATTATATATAATGAGACCCAATGGACTTCCATTGTTGCACTTAATTACAAAGCGCAAATCACAAATACACAATAGATAGTGTCAAGCATCAATCCACAAGCCTCAGGCACTGCAATAATCCAAAAAAGGGCAAAAGAATTATATAGAAAACATTAAAGAATTGTATTTTTACATTTCCACATGTTACACAGAGCTAGATGTGCAGCTGGAGGGGAGTAAGTTCAGTACGTCCAAGATCCGCCCATGTTTGTGGGAAAATTTTTGTTCAAGCTGATTTTTGTTATTATAAATTCCTCTTACCAATTTATATCTGACCAGCAATATTATACATTACTTACTTAAGGTAACAGCTAAATCCAATAAAGCAAGTTTTCAATCTACTTGCATAATGTAACTGTATCTTTATGCACCCTGGATATAATCAGTCCCAAGATTAAATTTATATCTATCTATCTATCTATCTATCTATCTATCTATCTATCTATCTATCTATCTATCTATCTCAGTATGTTACACTTCTTGGCAATCTTACCAAAAAAACTGGAATCCTTAATGCATACTGATTTGTAAATCTTAAGCAGTAATATACTAAAACCTGAAAGAATATTTGGTTCAAATAGCAGAAAAATTCTCTTTTTTAATCTGCTAATAAACAAAACTACTGTGCCAACAAATAAGCATATTTAATATGCAAAGTAATCCTTTTGCTTTTTGATATTAAAAAAAAATAACAGACATTTAAGCAGCTTTGCTTGGGCCTCCTTGGATGTGTGAAATAGTTCAGAGTGGTCTGTTAATGTCAATATTGTTCTATAGAGCCAAAATAGGTATAATACTAGCCAAAGGAGGCCAAAACCTAGAAATGAAGGAAGTAATCTACATAACTGCAATTTAATTTGTACAATTAATCTAGAGAATGAAGTTCACACAAGCTTTGCACTGTAAAGTAAAATATTTTCTGATACCTGTAAGAATGCTTCTGATATGTCTTAAGAGACATTATCTGAGGAGAGATGGCTTTTGATTATATTCTGAATGATGTTATTTATAAATGTTAATGTCACAGGCAGATAACTGTCTCAACTTGCAGGGATTTCTTAGTATTTCAGAATATGTATTCAGACTTCCAGGGAAGAAATGGCGAACTGAAGACAATCATGGCGGAATGAAGAGCTGGCAAGTAGACCAGCTCTTCGTAATTCCTCTCAGGACAAGGAGAGGACTTGAGATTGCCCACAAGTGCTCCAGATGTCTGCAAGACAGTGGTCTCCGGTGGGTTTAGAGCTCTGGGAGACGAGGGAATAACCATCTTTCTGAAACCATGGTCAGTGCCTTCAAACAGGACACTGGATTCACATATTTCCTTTCCTAACCACTTTCAGAAATTGCTTGTTAATTGCTTTTCAGCTATTAGAAACCTTTGGATCAACAAGTTTTACCGCACTGGGTGAGTTTCCTTTAATCCTTAATGAAAGAAATTTTAAATACAAGTTTAAGGACTTTAAAAAATTATTTTAGAATTAACAGCAAAAGGGTGATTAGAACTTTGATTTTGGAAAGTTACAAACAGACTTAAGGGTCCAGACGGATTTCAAATAAGATTTTGGAATTAATTCTAGGAATCCTTCCTGTGGGAAAATGCTTTTGTTTTGAATTCTCTTTTAAGAAAACATGATACGATGAGACTTTGAAGGTTGGATACTAGAGGGAACCAGAAGGTTACAATTACAAGAGAAGAACACTAATATTTGACTTATTAATACATAAAAGAGCAAAATATTTTAACACTGGACATATTGAAGGATATTTTTGAACAATGGACATAGAAGCTAATTTTAAGAGTGTCTGCCTCTATAGATAGACTGTGTTTAAAAGACATTATGGAAGAGGAACAAGTTTTACCAGACAAGACTGAGACTGATCTGAAACTGGATTTAAAAATGACAGGCTACAAGAATGATAGGAAAAAGATGCTACACTGGACATACAAATGAAACTGGCTAACTTCTTAATAATTAAAAGGGATATACAAATAACGAATGAAAAGAGTGACCTGGATAACTTTATTGGATTTACAAAAAAGACTTGTTAAATCTTGGAAGAATTTTTTGAGAAGGGACAAGGAAAAAATGAAAAGAAATCAAGTTCTAGGACATTATTTGAAGGGCCTAAAGATCAAGATTGTTAAAAGTAAAAAGAAGAAATAACAGTTGGTTTATTTGATCTAAGTTAAAATAGATATGTTGTTATCTCTGGTAACCCTAAATGGACTTTTGCTGATCAGGACTG